AAACAGCTTTTGTAACTCCTTTTGGACATCATGAATGGAATGTAATGCCTTTCGGTTTAAAGAATGCACCAAGTGAATTTCAAAATATTATGAATGAAATTTTTAATCAATATAGTCATTTTTTGATTGTTTATATTGATGATGTGCTTATATATTCAAAGTCAATAGACGAACATTGGAAACATTTGCATTTATTTGCTAGAATTATTAAGTCCAATGGATTAGTTGTATCAGCCTCTAAGATTAAACTGTTTCAGACTAATGTTAGATTTTTAGGTTATAACATCCATCAGTCTACCATCCAACCAATAGATCGAGTTATTCAATTTGCTGATAAATTTCCAGATCAGATCACTGATAAAACCCAACTTCAAAGATTCCTTGGATCATTAAATTATGTTTCAGAATTTTATCCTCATCTTCGTCAACAATGTAAACCATTGTTTGATCGTCTTAAAGATAATCCTCCAGCATGGTCTACCATTCATACTTCCATTGTCAAACAGATTAAAACTCATGTTAAGACATTGCCCTATCTTGGCATTCCAACTCCCAACTCTTTTAAAATAGTTGAAACTGATGCATCTGATGCAGGTTATGGAGGTATCCTCAAACAAAAAACTTCTTCTGAGTCTCCTGAATAGATTGTTCGTTTCCATTCAGGAGTTTGGAATCTGGCACAAACTAATTATAGTACTATAAAGAAAGAGATACTATCTATTGTATTATGCATTAGTAAATTTCAAGATGATTGATTAAATCAAAAATTTTTAGTTCATGTCAATTGCAAATCTGCAAAACATGTTTTATAAAAAGATGTTCAAAACATTGCATCCAAACAGATTTTTGCACGATGGCAAGCCATATTAAGCATTTTTTATTTTGATATTGAATACATTAAAGGCAGCCATAACTGCATTCCAGATTTTTTTAACAAGAGAATTTCTGCAGGGGAAGAATGTCAGGGAAAAACAGCAATAGTCAGATGAGGCTTTCAGCCACTCTTCCACCTCCACCACCAGTAAAACAGGAATCTATTCCCGATTCCTCATCATCGGCCCTAGCCATTACCAACAGATTTGTTCCCTTAGGATCTCCTTTAGGATCAATTGTTGGCCAATTCCGACCAAATTAACAAACGACATTAACCAGCCCATATGACTCATATTCATCAATGCCATCACATTCAACCCCAAGAACACCGAGCTTTGCTAAAACATCCCCATATGTTAAGAAACATCCTATGGAACAACTTTTCTGCATTCCAAATCACATTAACAAAAGGCAATCGCCAGACAAAATAGTTAAAGCCATCTTACACCCCAATTTCCACTATGTCCCAACTGAATCTTTCAAAACCCTCCAATATTACCAAGCCATTCTCAGTGAGACCGAAAGAGTTTCCATTAAACCCATTTACAGCACCACCTATCCAATTAAACTTCTTTACCACTCACTCCATATTGGCAAATTTCTTACCGAACAAGATTGGGGACTCCCTCTCTATCATACCAATCAACTTCACACCAAACATGAACTCATCCCAAACAACAAATATAGTTATTTTGACTACATCCAAGCCTGGAACAACATATTTCTTCACCAAACATCTGACTTTAGTCATTCATGGTTTGTTACATTTGATAAAAGTTTCAGGATGAACTTTCTAGCTTGGTTTCCAAACTAGTGGTTAGCTCACGGCCCAACTGCTAGCCTACTACCCGAAGAACTCATGCAATTCCTTTCATCTGGTTTCTAGAAGCATTTTGACAGAAGCCGTTTCGATGATAGAATTACCCTTCTTTCATTATTTATGGCTAAATATAAAGTCCCTTTGATTTTTAAATGGAATTATGAGTATGAAACAGGTGAAATTTACAGAGCCAGATGGGTCAAGTGGTGGGATAAATTCGACTATGGAAAAATTGTCAGTTTAGTCTCATTAGAATTTCCAATTACACCTGTTCCAATGATATCTCCACCAACAACATCGACACAGGCATTGCCAGAAATCCCAGAAAATACCCAATCACTATCAGACATTAGTCCTTCATCATCTCTCAAAGGAAAATCCAAATCATCAAAAACTTCAAGTTCGAAGAAGAAAGGGAAATCCTCACAATTATTGAAAATGGCAGATAAGCTTATAGCAAAAGCAGCTTTACTAGACAGTGAAGATGAAGACGAAGATTCAAGTTCAATTTCATCAGATGCTTCATCACAACATCCTACCGATCCAGCTAGCCAGAAGACCCTATGGGCAGATTATCAGGATTCCCAGGACCCATTTGATTTGTAATCAGCATGTGAATAAACAGTTTTACCATGTAATAATTATCAGAAGAAGACATCAAAAGCAGTAGCAGTCATCAACAATCATTCCAGACATTTTACTATTCATGAATAGTAAAATCACTTTTTCACTATTCATCAACAGTAGCCATCATTTCATTTCAGAAAAGAAGAAGCGTGATTCTACAGTGGTCCGACAATTTCATCAGCCTTTGGTACCTTTCCAGCACACAGCACAGGCAAAGCGAGATTCCCGGATCTCAATTATCATCCCTCTCTCTACAAAAGAGGGGCGAATTCACAGAAGGAGGGGACATTCGTCGAACAAGCTGAGACTCTCTGCGACTTCTAAAAAGAACAGAAGTCATAGTTCAGCTCCATTCTCCATTCACCAAAACTATCAAACACTTGTATTTTAATTTTCAATCAAGGATGCCTGCGTGCTCCATCGTTTTCTTTATCAATCGTCAATAGACGAAATTGTAAGTTGGTTTCCAATTTAAATAAAATTATTTGCAAATAAATATCTACATAATTCATTACTTTATAATGAACATTACACCTATTTTCAATTTGATTTTAATTATTTATGTAATTATAAGTGATTCATTTGGGTTCCGATTCCCTATAAATCTTGACTTGATTCTCATCAAATATCTTGAGCTTCTCATATCCATATATATATTTGGCTTCCGTCATTTGGTATATATATAGAAAAATTTCATGTTTTCTAGTTTTATACATGCTTGAAACTTCTGGTTCATTTCATTAGATATGAAAATCTATGGAAACTTCTGGTTTCATTAATATGTATCATGAGTTTGTAAGCAAAGATGTTTCCTAATATCAAATAAATGCTTTTACATGAATTCTCAGCCATCATAAATCCATGAAAATATTTGTTGCCTATAATGATGATGGGGACAAAATTGAGCTTTGTTAAGTTCACCATTTTCTTATTGCAAAAAGGACGACATTCAGGTATGACGGAACTTGCGATAATTAATTCATACCATATATAACACACGTCTACACAAAATGTTAGAACTTCAAGTTCTTAACATTATTATTTTGGAACTTTAGGTCAAAACATTATTCATATGTACTCCAAATTTATTCTCGATATCGACCTCATTAGAACATTTAAGTTCATATTTTTGGAATTCATGCCCATACTTAATCGGTACATGGATTAAGGAACTTATGGTCTTCATTCACAGGAATCAAGGAACTTCTAGTCCAATCATTTTATATGATGAGGATCAAGGAACTTCAGGTCCGATCTTTTTAAATGATGGAACTTCAGGTCCAATCATTTTATATGATGAGGATCAAGAAACTTCATGTCTGATCATTTCATATGATGGAACTTTATGTCCAATCATTTTATATGATGAGGATCAAGAAACTTCATGTTCTAATTTGAACAAGGAACCTCGGGTCCTGTATATATTCATCATAACAAAATGTAGTACAATAAATAAATTAAAGAAGAAGGAGGTAATTCTAGCTACTATAAATAAATTGCTTTAAATAAGTAATGATTGTGACAAGGGCTTTAATTCAGCACCATTCACATAAATATCAAACTTAAAGACAATAATTGTTATTATAAGAAGGGTGACAGTGCCACACACACACATGTATGTGTGTATATATATATATATATATATATATATATATATATATGAAGGGTGAGGGTGATCAATCCATACCATTTATATTAATGTACGATGGACGATTATACGGCACCAATCACATTATTAACAAGATTAATAATGATAAGGAAAAAGTAAATATTAATTCACTATACTTCCCTTTTTCGTTCTAACCTTGGTCATTTATCAATGGCAATGTCTGAGAATTATAGGAAGAACAAACCTTTGGATTTGACCCAAATTTTATAATGATATGGATAGGAGGATAAAGAACAACTTTCATGAAGAAACCATATCAATCTGAGCTATTGAATAATGGGGTTTTGGCACTCATAAGATGGTTGTCCAGTTTGCTACGGAATTGGAAACTGGGTTCGTGCTTCAAACATCTGTGCCGATCGCACTATTGGATTTTTCTAAAATTTGGATGTGTTATAGGTACTAGCGGACGAACAACTTTTAAGAATGAAGTGTTTCAATCCAAGGTCAAGAAGTTGGAATTCAGAGGCTGTTTACATAGCTGTTAGATTTTCTGCCAATAATAATAATAGTTATATAATAAGATGTATATTAGCTTTAAGAACATTAGTCGTACAGAAGTAAGAAGATAAAGTAAAAGGATCTTCAATGATGCAAATACCTTTTTATATAGAGAGGTTTTCATTCTTTCTTGATCATATTTGGTTGGTCACGTTTTTCAACCTAGCAATCTTACCAAGACTTTTTCTCTAACAACATTGTAAAGCTACGGTCATATTTAGTTGCCTATTACTATAGTCATTCATACCTCCATTTACAACAATTGTAATGTTAATTCATTACTTTATGCTTCTTTCACTTAACTAGTAACTAGTTTCCCAATTACCCAATTCAAATTATATCCAATTACATGAATGGACCATTTGTTATTGCCCATCTTTTTTATGCAGCCTTGCTTTTATTTCCTTGTTCAAACTTCAAACTAACCTAACTTATGATTAGTCTTATATATTTAGTCAGGTGATGTCATCATTTTATAGGTAAAATAATTAATACTTTATTCACATACATCATCATTTCATCAAATAATTGGGCTCTTAATCGGCTCCCATTTGGTTAACTTTCCACCGTATCTTCAGAATCCAAGAGAATATTTTGGATATATTTGTTGATCGTCTCCAAACCATGGGGTTTTGGAATCATTGCAATAGTCTAGCTTGTGTGTATTTTGCAATAGTGAAGTCGTGGAAAGGTTTCTGCCGTTTAACTCCAAACTATCAGGTGATTGTCAATTTACTCAAAGGATGCAATGGCTGAATAAAAAAAAAAATTAATGAGGTAAATTAACAATTACGTGATAGTTCAGAAGGATAAACATCAATTTGCTCAAATAAAAATCACCATCTTCACAGCGAAAATCGGTGGCGGAAAGGTTTCTTCATTGTCCTTTCTTGTTTCAGATTATGCGAAAGCTTTCTCAAGTATGCCCACGTTTGCAAACTTTTGTCCCAACCAGACCTCACACTGATGACTGATTTGTAAAGAATGACGAGCACAATCCCAGGTCCAAAAGCACCACATATTCACTGATTCAAATAAACAATAATCTTTTATTCAAAAAAAACAAATGAACAATAATCTTTGTATTACACAAAGGAAAGACGATTTTCAGAACCTTCTTCAATGGACAATGACAGTTAAATTTGTGCAGCACGACACGATCCACTCTAGAGACGAATCAAGGAAATACAGCAAACCAGTCAAATCAGGAGAAATGGCTATTTCTGTTAGATTGTTGGAAGACATTTCGCCCGGAGAAACTGTTTAAGAATTGCTTTCTCCTCATCAAGGTGCTTCATCTCTTCAGGATCTTTTGGTTTAACCTTTCTTTTCTCTTCCAGCATCCACTTGAAAAGTTGGTGTTGGTGATCCTCCGGGATTGGTTCCAGCAGTTTTATGGGCTCTGTGATGGTTGGTGAAGGTAGTAGGGGTTTCTCAGTAGTAGTTGTTTGAGCTGTTGTTGAAACTGTAGCAATCACGTTTTCCTCTATGTCTTTCCTTTTTGTTCTCATAAACAGGTAAGCTACAAAAGTAATTCCAAACATCAGTGTCAAAATAAGAGTCCATTAAGATCCATAATTATGCAAGAAAGAAGCAAATAAAGTATTGCAGCAATCATATTCCTAGTGAGGTAATTTGCACTCTAGCACATCCTACATCCATACGCACAAGTGTTAATAGAATCATGGGCAGGTAAACTAAAGGAAAGCCAGGTTTAGAGTTTCAAAATGTTTCAAAAAACTTCATCCCTTTTCTGTCGCAAACAGAAGCAGAGAATGCAGACTGTAAATAGCCGGTTCATATTAACAGGGATAACGATCTGGTAAGAAGACATTCTATGCTGGTCAAGTTCACAAAGTTAGTTGCATTTGGTCTATAATAAGGTTCCTCACTGATGAACAAGGTCTTTCAATTGAACTGCTGCTAAAACAAAATTGTGAAGTGCAACCTACGCTAAATGGCAAATTTCTCCTCTCTTTATTTTACCCATCAGCATCCCTAGTTGCACAACGGCCATTAAGTATCAGCATCCCTAGTAACACAATGGCCATGTTCTTGTAATCAACAACAGAAGTTGAACTAATGCTGCAAGCCATCATAGTCGCACAACGATAGAAAGATTAATGTAATAAACTTGATATCTTGAAGTTTACTATGAGCTTATAGCATTGTACTATGTAACATACAAACTACCCTTCCTCAGTAGATCTTGTCATGTAGTACATGTGAGGAAAAAGTTCAAGAGAAAGTTAAAAGCCGCCAGAGTTATTTTAAGCTTATGCTGATACAATTTCCATCAGATACAATTCACGTCTTGAAAGCTGATACAGCCTACAATCCCCCCACCTTCTTTTTGTATTCGCGATTATTAGTGGAAGTATAATGCTGGGAAAATAAAACTCCATCTATCTAATTAACTACATACGAGTAGCAATCATCAGTGTAAAGTAGGCACTCTCAAACATGTTTTGGGAATGGTAATTATTTGCAAGCATCACGCACACCATGATTTAGACATCCAATCTACCCTTCTTCCTCATAAATAAACATTAATGTACTACCAATCATCACTTCTCATGACAAATTTCACGCGACTTCAGCAAATAGGAGCAACAATGAGAAAACATTCCAATTATATGTCATAACAATTCAGAGCTAACAGTGGTCATGCTCTCCTCGGCAGGTACACTCAATTCCCTTCACGGAAAAATTCAAAATAAAACTCATTCTTTCAAAGTCAAAGTTGGAACAGGAAAAAAGTTCAAAGGTTTTCCCCACTTGATTCATATAATTAAATTTTGAATAACGACCACAAAGGGTGAAGGGCAGAACTTACACCTACACAACCAACTTCCAAGAAAGAAACACATGCCAAATAGTTCATACACTGCACCAAAACTCTCTACTCTTTCAAGACGTCCTCATTGGCCACCTATTATACTTGCCTGATTCACTCATCTAACAGTATTCAGTCCACACATTCACAATACAAATCCCATACATAATACCAAAGGCACTTCAATCCTCCAGCCTACACGTCACGCGGTGGAACCTACTCCGATGCCAAATGGAATGAACCCACGAGCGGAAGTTCTCGCTCTAAAACAAACTTAAAACAGGAGCTCACGAGATCATAAACTTGTTGGAAAATATTAGTATTTAGGTTTACTTTAATATTTGGTTTTTTGGGCTTAGCCCGTTAGCATTAGGATTTAGGATTAGTTTATTATAAATAGAGTGCTTTGTTATTCATTCGAAATTAAGTTATTCACAATGTAGCTTGTTAGGGTTTTTGTAGCCGTTTCGGCATTCAATTTGTTTAATAATATTTCTATTAGTTTATGGTTTTATTTGTTCCGCAATCTGATATTCAACTTGGTATCAGAGCAGGTTCAATCTTTGGGATTTAATCTGCTTGGTCGGGTTGGTATGTTATTTGTCAGTTTGTATGCTAGTTTTTGTTGTTGGTTTAGTTTGCAGAAGAAAACAAAAAACCTGAACCTTCCACTGCGTCCAGTTCCCTGTGACATGAACCCTGCACCTCGCCTGCTTAAACCACCGCACCACCATCTCGCACTAGACCACCAGCCTGCACTCGCATCTGCCTGAACCGTACCCGCCATCGTTTCTTCATCAGATCACCACCACGCTGCCACCGGAACAACCTGCTTGCACCTGCACCCAGATCCCTTGCCGTCGTCCCGCGCACCCAATCACCATCCACCCAGGTTGCCGCTGCTCATCACATCCTTGTTGCACTGCCTCCTGAACTCACCGCCGCACAAGACCAAGAAACATGTTGCTGCAGTTCTGAAGAAGCCCAGCAGAAAAGAGAAAAAGGAAAGAAAAAAGAAGAAGAGAGAAAAAAAGGAGAGGAAAAAAAAAAAAAAAAAAGAAAAGAAAAAAAAAATTGTTTGGAGTTTTTTGAGGCCCACACGGGCAAAAGTCAAAAATATGGTTTAAGTTTGTTTTAGGCCCGTAAGAATTGTTGGTTGCCTTGTTTGGAATTGTTTTCGTTGTTTGTTGGTATAATTGAGATATGAAAATCTCGTCCGTTTAGTGACGGGTTCTTTCCATACTCTCAACTCTAGCCAGTTTTCCAGTCAAGTCAAGTCAAGAATCAAGTCAAGTCAAGTTCGCAAGTTCACCAGTTCGCAAGTCAAGTCAAGTCAAGTTTGCATACCTGCCTGTCTGTCTGTCCGCGTTGCGGAGCCTGCCTGTCTGTCTGCGTTGCGGAGCCTGCCTGTCTGTCCGCGTTGCGGCGGAGCCTGCCTGTCTGTTCGCCTAACAGAGCTAGTCTGCATCTGCTTGTTTGCAAACCCATGTCGTATACCGCCATGAGTTTGATTGGGGTGTTGGAAAATATTAGTATTTAGGTTTACTTTAATATTTGGTTTTCTGGGCTTAGCCCGTTAGCATTAGGGTTTAGGGTTAGTTTATTATAAATAAAGTGCTTTGTTATTCATTCGAAATTAAGCTATTCACAATGTAGTCCCTTAGGATTTTGTAGCCGTTCCGGCATTGTTTGTTTAATAATATTCTTATTAATTTGTAGTCTTATTCGTTGTGGACTCTGATATTCAACTAAACTAACCCACCATGTTTTTCTTCTCTTCTTTTATGTGGAACAATTGGGTTTGGGTTCTGACCAAACATATACAATCAGAGTGGATTAGCAGTTAAGCGACAACTTAACAAACAAAACCGCCATCAAGGAATGCATTAATAAGCACCAAAATCCATTTCCAAGCCATGATCTCAAAACCCATTTCATCTCTCATACTTTCTTTCACAAACAGATATCATGATTACAAAAAAAACCCAACAAAGGATTCAATCAAAGAATGAGAGAATGGGAATAAACCTCCAACGCCCAGATTGACAGTCAAGAGCAGAGGCCAGAGAAACTTGTAACGCCGAGCAAACGACTCCTTCGGGGGCTGAGGTGGCGGCGGTGACGAAGCCTGAGCCGCCGCCATTGTCGGCGACAACGGCGAAGAAAAATCCTTCCCTTTGTGTTACTGAAAAGCAAACAAGATTCTGGTTTCAACAGCGGTTGAGAAAAAGCTGCTTCTGATTTTGATAAAAGCAGAAATGACTGGCAGAGAAGTTGGGCTTTTACCTTTCTTGGGTTTGTTGGCGTAAAGCTTCGGACCATCTTCGCTCATTGTTGCTGGAACGCCCGAAGTTCCTTTCTTTCTTCTCGAAAGTTCGAAAGTCGTCTTCCTCTGCTTACTCTACTATCTACACCAGAGTTCAGTTTGCAATCAGGATGTGAATGGGCCAGGCCGGGTTTGATGAGGGTCCGCTTTTAGACCGGCCAGATCTAGAGCTTGAGTTAGGAAGTTTCAACTCGAGCCCAAAATCAATGAAATTTTATCCCGGGGAGCCGAGTTAAGGTTGGGCTCAAGTTGATGGTACGCAGAACTCGGTCTTTACTAGAATCCATCTAAATTAATATGTACTAAAACACATTTTACTCTAAGACACAATGTTCTCTCACTTTTACCCCTGCTTGATTTTTTTTATTTCACTTCTGCAATTTCTGACATGTGGGATCGCACTTTCTTCTTAACCTTTTCCATCCTGCTTAATTTTGATTCCAACAAAAAACTCATGCTTGAACAAAAAGATTCTCGTTCTCGCTCTTCAACGATGGACCTAAAAATCACCATTTTCATCTCCTTCCATAGACCAACATATCCCATGTCCTCTATCTGATCTGAACCAAGCGATGTAGCTACAACAAAGAACTCGCCCACTTATTTGCGACAGTTTTCCCGAGTGAGCATCACTCTAGGTAGATTCTAAATTTATTGGATGTGAACATCTTATTTGAATTTGTGATTCAAATAATTTGATTTTATTAAAATTTTCAGATTTCATGAAACTTTTTCATAAATTTGTGGGTTTTAGAGACTTCTTCATTAAATATTTGGGTTCTTTTGGGCATGTCAGGCTCAACAATTAAGACCAATCATGAAACCTTCTGAACAGTCCACACTAGCAAAATTATGTACAGAAGTATAGATGCACTACAGCAAATGAAACATTGGAAGCCCTACAAAGGAAGGAAGTATAAGTTCTTCGGAAAAAAGAACAAATCCTCTTTGTGGAACCATAATTTTTCAGGGCTAGACTAAAGTTAATATGAAAGCTGTTACCTCAGGAGTCCGATCATGGATTCAGCTGTATCAGACGAAGCAGGGTGCCACCATCACTCTACTCCGGGGTAATAGGATGACCATGCTTGTTCCAAAAACATGCGATTTGATTTTGGATATGGACTTAATCAAATCTTATAAGTCTTGGAGTCCCTACAATCTAGGGATAGGCATGCGCCGCAAGTAATCAGATTCATAAGGGGATGCAATATCTACTTACTAGATATCCTCAAGGATTATGCTTGCTTAGTACAAGGATTCTATACTAAAAAGGTCTCTCCCACGGTATAAATGCACCTATCTAGGGTTCATCTACGGTAACGCAATCTATTCACTTGAATTCTCTTGCCCATTGCTTAAGTCTAAAATCATTCGCTAACTTGATCGCCAAAGAGCCTTTGGCTAGCACACCCCCCTCGCCCGCGCGGCTTAAGGTTTGCTTACAATTGTTTCGCTATTTTGCAAGTTCTTCCATACTACACAGATTTGTGCTCAACCACCGCTCATGAAGGTACACAAATTTGGTTTCAATAATTGGTGCTTTAATTGAGAGAGAACCCATATTCCTCTTAACCAGACCTATCCACCCTCTGATATGTCAAAGAGCTCAGTTAACAACAAAGGTCCTACCTCTCCCCAGACGACGCCTACTAGGGGTACAGTGGTGTCACGGCCATTGATGAGATGTGAAAAATGTCATGAATGTTTATTTATCCTTGGAAGAGAACTTGCCCGACTCGCTGATATAAGGGCCCGCATGAAAGATCCCTAAGAAGCAATTTCACGCTTAGAGAAATTGGCTACTCAAGGGAAGGAGGCGATCAATCTGACGTCTGAAGAATCATCCCAACACTTGATAACTCATATATTTCATACATTTATGCCATCTATTCCTAGTCCGTTTGTGATATTTTTGAGTTAAACTAGTTGCATTTTACCTTTTTTTGTGAACTTTAATTTCACTCATGTTGATCTTGAATTTATATATTTTGTAATCATGTTGTGTAATTAAGTTCATAGTTGGGAATTTCGATGTAGCCTTGCAAATATACTCTATGTTATTAAGTTAAAGTATTGAAATTACAAATCTGTGTTCTTGTTTCATTCAGTAATTTTATAGTATAATTTGTTTGTTAATCTTAATGTTTGATCACCATTAGGGCTGCTTATGAATTATTTGATCAAGGTTATAGTACACATCATGCTTAATCTTGGTGGACATGTGAATGAATGAAGAAACTGCTATGCATACATCCTACTATGCTTAATCTTGGTGGACATATGAATGAATGAAGAAACTGCTATGCATACATCCTACCATGTGATTTCTTTGGTTTTTTTAAAGTTTCTTGTTCTTAATGGATCCTTATTTGGTAATCTAAGTTGAGCATCACAACTAGGTTGCAGATTAGGAGTACTTGATCACAACCACACATCAAATGAATGATCATAAATAACTAAAACGAACCCTAGTTGTAGATTGGAGAGTTGAATACGTTTTGACTTAATTTTCATTACATTGGCTTGTAATGGTGAAATCGGTATTCCTAATTCCATTCTCATCATTTAAATTAATCTATCATTCATCTTTATTTTGTCTTGCATTTTAAGTTACTTTAGCTTTTAAAACAAAAATCTAAATTCAGTTTTTATTTGCATTTTCTTTAGGGTTCACATAAAGCTAGTAATTGTAGAGGTCTAATTAGTCCTTGTGGTTTGACATCCTTACTTGTACTTGTGCCATTATACTATCCTTATATTTGCACTTGAAAGGAATGCAGTTTGCAAAAAACCAAGGCTGGTTGTCAATCCGATCGACTTATAGGATTAACTGCATGTATGGGGAACAAGAATACCTTGGAAACACCAGAAAAGAAAGGAATGCAGTTTACAAGAAATCAAGGCTGGTTGCCAACATCAACAAGCCACTTGCTATCAACTCTAACATCTTGATGTTTATGATCGAGATTTGGAAGACATCAACTCACCTTGTCATTAAGGTCCACATCTCGAACACCCTAGTTAGCTGCATTTTAGTAGACAATGGTTCGGGATTTAGCATCCTCTTCAAAGATGTCGCTGAAAATATGGGGATTCTTGACAACATCAATATAGAGAATACAACCTTGCACACCTTTAATAGGACACTAGTACAATCCCTAAGAACTGTAAAGTTGGTCATCCAGGACGAACCCCACAACCACCTGGTAGCCTTCCATGTGATGGATTGCCCGACCCTCATAACGCCATCATCGGCTGAAACTGATTACACAAGATGAAGGCCATTTCTTCCAGGTACTTCGCTACCCAGCACCTGGTGGAGTAAAAGAGGTAAAATGAGACTAGTTGGCAATATGTTGTTGCCCTATTGAATGTATGAACATGATAAGGAAATGAAGGAATAATTTGTGAAAACTAGTTCATTTAAGCAACATCTTTGTATGCAATTTAACAATTAAAGGCAGAATCATGCTTGTATGCACTCAAAAACAAAACTTTACCCATGAAATTTAAGGCCTAGTAATTGTGGTTGATGTGATATACACTAGCACTCAAACTTAAACCCTCTTTTTGACAATTGTAGTATGGATAAATAGGGATCGTTCTAGGCCAGGGATTAGGAAGGACTACTAATCAACTCAAATTAGATTCAATTACACTTAACTAGACTTAAAAACACTAAACTAGACTCTTATGACTCAAGACTGACTCAAACTACTCAAAACTACACAAAACTAACAAATTGACTCAAAACTAACACTAAGGATGACTTTGGATGAAATTTGAACTAAAAGACTCAAAACACTAAAAAGAAACTAGTTTTGGATAGATTCTAACTAAAAACACAAAATATAAAAGGAGAGTTGGTTTTTGACGAATTTAAGACTAAAACTAAACAGATTTAAAACTCTAAATAACTTTGGACGAAATTGGTGATTTAATGGGTGAATGGCTAGCTAAAGGGTCATTCTCCACACATGACACATACGCATACGAATCAATTTCCAGTTATTCTTTCTATAAACCATGAATGACAACGCCCCAGATTAACCGTGAACAACACTAATTAACCCTCAGATTTTCCTAAATTCATCGAATTAGACTTAATGTCGCAACCAAATTATTCTTATCAAGTTCCCTACACAAACAACATGATAGAGATACATATCAAAGATCATTAAGTTCTATGAAAATCATAAGCATTGACAAGGCATCTGTAACTATGAACAACATGATACTCCTACCAGGAATTTTACTTAAACACAATCATGACCAGTGACCTCCACTACTTATAAAAATAAGTTCATAACTATTAGGTGAAATCCCTTATATTTTAGCATCAAATTCACGCATGCAAACCAAGTGTGCACCCTTAATCAACATACAAGAATAAGTTCTGAATTAAATAGTTAAGCAAATTGCATTCACGATTCATGAAATAATAACTGAATGTAATCAATTCATATGTAATATATGTTCATGGCTTTGAATTCACCTTTAGCTAAAACGAGTTTAGTTCCTTATGTTTGCACTTAAACAAAGATAACTTAAATTAAACATTGAAAACAAAAGATATAATACACCTAAGAACGCTCCAGCAATCCAAGCTTGAATTGCAGGGCACAGCAAAGGGTCTCCTCTCCTTTCTCCTTGCAAGGTTGCGGCACAAGAGGGATTTCTGTGTATGATGGATGTGTGGTGCGAATTGTGGTGAGAGATGGGTGTATTTATAGGGCTAGGGTTCAACACCAAGGTTGTAGAGGAAATGGATTAATTGTTAGCATTGTTTTAGGACTCTTAGAAATCCGATAAGAGGTGGTTTAATATGAAAAGGAGTTCCCCTTGCAGTTGGAAATAAGGTAGGATAAGATTAGGATAGGATAAGATAGGATAAGGTGTTTTTTCCTTTTAGTTGATTCCTTATCTTCCAAGTCTTGATTTTATTCTTCCAGATTTGTAGCATATTCCTATCCTCTTTTCATCTTCAAAAACGTCCATCCACCTTGCTCCATTCATATGCTGTCCATTCCAAGCCCAAAACTGCTCTAAAATGCTCCAAATTACCTTTTCTTGTCACTTTTGCCATTTGGACCTACAAACACACGAAAATGGCTTAAATCACTATAATAAACAGAAACTAACTCACTAAATGCAAAGAAACAGGCTAACAAAGTCGCATAAATATGCTCCTATCAGTGGTGAACCAAGACTCAATTCAAGAACAAAGTGAGTTGAGAAATATTATACCTTTGTTGAAT